ATTGGAGATGCTCTTAGATCTGCTCCAATGAGGCTTCTAAGTGGGGAATCAGCAGCATTCAAACGTGTTCAACAGCATCTATAGCACTTAATGAATCAAGAAAAGAGTTTGTAATTACTACTATGCATCTATGGCATGAACTTGCTTCCATCCTATGCAGGCAAATGGAACGGGTGAATCCTGCTGTCAAGAAAAATGAGGCTGCAATATATGACGCTGACTGACATCCTGGTGAACTGAAATTCATCTGCTCCTTGCGAACAAATTAAATTTCTCTCTTCTATCTGTGCAACTTCTTGAGCACAGTGGCTACAGTTTCCTTCAATATCCGGTTGCTCTATCTTCCATCAGATCATTATAACTGGCCCTTCAGATATTACCGCTTTATTTTAGTCAAAAATTAAGATAGAAAGCCTTGGTACAGCAATTCATTATTAGCTCATCTAGTCTATGTATGTTGACCTTGGTCGATCAATCCTTGGTTTTGATGATTAACAAACCAAAATGTAGATTTGGGCTAATGTTTTTATGTGAGTAATTTGTTAGAACAGATTCTTGTGGCATAAAAGAAGAAGCAAAAACAGGGCACTCATGTCGGACGCTATCGGACGTCCGAAAGGATGAAGAACATCAAGAAGGAAACTCTGTCGGACGCTCGTGAGGAAGCATCGGACGTCCGGAAGGATCGGACGCACGCTTCGGACGCACATCGATCGCATCGGACGTCCGAGAAATTTCGCAAAGATTTGATGACTCTCTGCCTACGTTCGGACGCAGGGTTCGGACGTCCGACAGGTGGTTTGGACGCAGGGTTCGGACGTCCGACAGGAGGTCTCGGACGTCCGACAGGCCAACGGCTAGTTTTGACAGCATTTAATATTTGACCGTTGGAGAGCCTTTTGAAGCCATTTCTCACCTTCTATAAACCCCCAAAGCACAAGAAGACAAGTGACTTTTGCCAACACAAAATACAAGCTTACAAGTGAGATTTTTGAGTAGAAAGATTCTTTGTTGGTTGTACAAGGGGTTGGGAAAGTTGGGTTGTGAGGTTGCTCAAGTGAAAACCTTGTGAAGGTGAACCTATCACTTGGAGTGGTAAAACCTTGGTGAAGGTTGCCTCATTTGTATAAAATAGTTCTTAATTGGGTGAGTGATCTTTCAAGTGTAGATTGTTGAGGGTTAACTAGAATTGTTGTAAAACTCCTTGGCTCAACCAAAGAGTGTTTGGGGTGAGGAAGGAGTGAACCTTCACTTGTACATCTTGGTTAGCATCGCCATCAATTGAAGAGGCTATTGGATTGATATTTGGTTTGCATTTCTTATCTTTTCTCTTTAATTAAGTTTTCTTTATTGTGCTTAAATTTGATATATCTTTGTGTATCATTGTGAAATTGTTTGTACTCATTGGGTTGCACCGGGCACTTACAATGTACATTTTGCATTTTCTGTTAGGAAACTCTCTGATGCGCCAAAGCGCAAAAAAAGAAATCCTCATTGCTTCCAATTTCGTGCCTTGGACTGCACGCAAAAGACCATCCATTATTATCTGCTGTTGAGCAACCAACAAATGTTCTTGGATCTTCCCAAGTTCATGTATGGCCGAAGATGAGCGAAAAAAATGCATAGAAATCCAACATATACTCTTTGATGATCAACGTAGAAGACCGTCTTCATCCTCAGATGCAGGGCCCTCAAATTGATCTTCCTCAAGTGATGATAAAAGTCAACGGCCCAACAGGCCCAAAACTTATGGGGAGGGGAAGACCTGAAGAGGTCAAAGAAAAATCGAAGAGGATTGAACCACCTACCGATCCAAACGAGTGCACTACGCACTCGTTTAGTAGTGCACTTTTCTGGAAGCCACTTGAAGTGGCTTGCTACATTTTGTGGCCAATGGTGAGAGGCAGGGTTTGATTCCCTGACCTTATACCTCATCAACTTTGGTGGTAGAGTGTCTCAAAACGACATAAATCTTTTGCTTCAGCTTTTAGGTTATCTACGTGTATACTTGGGCTTAATCACACTTTCCAATGCGAACATGACCTGTCTTTAAAGTTTTGATGTGGAACTCAGTAACTTTATTACTGGCATTATTTTTTAAATGCACAATCAAAGGCGTCAAGTTTTTGCTGTATCAAACCGAGCTGCTCATGATAAAAAAACTTGACTTGGACTCGGGTTGATCGAGTTCGAGTCGAATTCAAGTAGCTCGATATGTTGAGCAAATCGTATTCGAGTATCCAAATGGAATGTTCAAAAGTTTGTCAAATTTTATCTAGTTTTTTAAATTTTAATTCTCTAATATATTATTATTATGAAATTATCCTTATGCTCAAAAGAGTGGTTGAAGTTACAAAATATTTCAGGTTGTATGAAATTTTTTAAAGGGTAATAATGTCTTTTAGCTCAAAATTTGTAAAAAAAAAAATGAAAATTTCTGACTCGAACTCGATAAGGCTCGCATTGACTCAAACCAATGCGAGTCGAGCACGAGTTCTGTGCGCAACCATCGAGTTCGAGCTCGTGTATGACAATACTCGATTTCGATTCAATTTGATTGCATCCCTAATCGGAATCCCGTTTTTCAAAGGGCATCCTTAGCTCCAAATACGGATTATAATACTCCTATCTATGATTTGTTTTTCCGTAAAAATTCGATAACGTGAGGGAACCAATCGTAAAGGCCTAATTGTGGATTTGTTTGACAAAACTAAAGAGATTAGGCGCTGTTGCGAATGACTATTGAGTGCATCTAACTGATCACGTTTTTAGTTTTCAGGTAGGTAGTCTTATGAAGGTGCTTCGATTCGTGCTTAGTTTTCGAGTAGATGTTAGTTAATTTTTTTTCCGTCCATTGACAGATCTAAATTCTAAGCTCAGACCAAATGAAAATATAAAAAAGAAAAAACTGGATTTCCAAAATTATGATACAAAAAATTACTCGAAATAACAAGAGGAGAACGACTATAATAACTAGGATTAATCTTTCCTACACTGACAGTGTATACACTATCAGCATTGGATGAATAACAACTAGACAAAATTTGAATTTGAAATTCAACTTTTGCACACATATCATGAATTAAACGGTAATAGTGTATACAGTGTTAGTATATATAAGATTTACTCTAAATATTATTGAAAGTCAAACCCTTAAAGAGAAATAAATTCTTGAGTCAGGTTCAGCTCCAGAAAATACTTAGAATTAATCTTATATACACTATCACCATTAGATATATGATACACGTGCAAAATTTGCTCATGTATTATCCATCCAACCATGATAGTGTATATAAAATTTACTCAAATACTTAATGGATGGCTATTTATCTTTCAAATGGGCTTCACTCATAAAAGTAACAAAAAAGTGTACCTAGATCATAAATAAGCAAAACAATGATGGAGTCAGCAGCTGCGAGTTATGATTCCCAACAGCCTCTGAAAGAAAGATGAAAAGTAGCAGCGGTGGAAACACTCCTCCTCTTCCAGGAGGCTTTATCCATAAAGGGTAAGATGACCCGGCTAAACACCAAATATTTACCATAACAAGTATATGCCATATGGGCCTATGGGCCTCTGGGAAAGAGTACTAAAGTGTGGCGGAGTAAAAGTCAATCCCACATGCAGTCCAAGAACAAGTATTCAATAACGAACTAACAAAGGCCCTCCTATTCATTCATGAAAGGTTCAATCTAGATCCGGTACACAAACAAAATCACTACTCAAAAGCCGTGCAAAAAGGACCATACCCCAACTCATCATGCATCCTACTGTTCAAGAATTCTGTATCATCAGGTTATACATATTTATTTAAAGATTTACCCCCACTTCGGAGTTGAGGGGGAAAGGAAAGAAGAAGCAAAATCAAGTAACGAGAGAAGAAGATAGTATACAAAGAAAAAGTTATAGTTTTATATTTTGGCACTGTAACAAATTTTTTATAGTATTAACAATTATGAATATATGCCACATGTGCATGATTTAACAGCAGTATATATATTTCTTGTATGATTGAATTTTTTTTTTATATGCATTAATTGTTAGCGTTAAAAAGGTTTTTTTTGGTGGTTGTTGGTTCCAAGCCACTATTGTCTTGACTTCCAGATTTTTACCATCCAACCAAAGGGCTGGTGCATAATGATTCAACCTCAAAATGTATGAATGTTATGATTGATTCTGCTAGCTAAGTGTTTCCTGGGATTGAAAAGTCAGAAGAGTTACACGTATACTCCCATTCTGAGCTTGTCCGAAGCCAAATCCTCAGCAATTCCAGAGCTCTAGCATATAGAAACGGAACGGGGCTCGTAATCAAAGCCAAATCCATCGATTCAGTGACCAATAATCAAGACTGACTACGACTGAGAAGGCTACTTGATTGACAAAAAAAATGACCATGTGAGTCTGTACTTTGTACTGCCAGGGCCAGCAGGTGAAGGGAGGATAATGGGGTACTGATTGCCACATCCCCAGTAAAGGCGTTGAATTGCAGTAAAGCTATAAAAAACATGAAAAACAAAACTAAAAAAGAAAAACCTGCTAAAGAAGGTGTGGTGGGGGTTGGGTGACAGAGGTTTCATTGCTGCACAGCCTACTACTCCCCATGTAAATTTAAGTCCATGACTCTCACTCCATTATTTCTGCTTTGAGCCAGTGACAGTGTGCAACTCAGAGATATAACTTCACTGGTCTATAATGCGGACAAACATGACTGGCGCGCTGGAAATATGATTGGCAAATCTGAAAGTTTCCACACACACAAGAAAAGAACCGGAAGGAGTCTTATATTGCAGCAAGCTGTGCGGCAAAAATCAACAAATACTTTAAATGAATAGAGCCAGTTTTAATTCATCGAGGACAAGAACAAAGTACAAAAGATGCAGGCACAAGAGAAAGCCAACTCAGATCCCGTCAATTCTGCATTATTTTGCCACTCTCCAGTTAACGATAGATAAATCCAAACAAAAAAAAAAAAAAGAAGCAACTTTCTACTGTTCCAAGAATAAGGAAAAGATGAAAGACGGGATCTTAGATAAAACCCTTGAAAATAGAAGGCCACAGAATTATGAGCACCAGGAGGCACATTTAGTTACAGGAATGTTTACAAAATTGTAAAACCAGTCCCCCTCTCGAGATATGAGGTACGGAGATCCAGATGATAACAAATTTTTGGTCAATCAAAAAATGTCTGAAGAAACAACCTAAACCAAGGCCACATATCAGAGATCCATAGGTTTTGAGTAATCAATGGAGAAAATTCTCTCAACAACCCATGACAGCACAGTTGTAAACAAAGACCCCAGCATGCTCCTTCACACCAAGGACCTTCCAATCCAAAGTGCCGTTCTTGGCCCCGATGTTGGACTCCAAGAATTCAGCACAATTGCTTCACCTTCTGGGCCCCTTTGACCACCACAACAAGAAGTTCTTTCCCACAGGCCTTGAAAGCTAGACCCCAACCGTTTGAAGAATCAGCCCTGACTGGGAGTCTTCCTAACACATCCAAGAGTTCTTTTCCTTGTCATATTTCTTTACCATATTGGTTAGATACTCAACCGCATAAAGCTGGTTGTTAACAACTGCAACAAGAGGTGGTGCCTGGGCAGCTCTATTAACAGTTGGATACATGCCTTCTATTTCCTTCCACTTCCTAGTCTTAAGATCAAACTCCTCCCCACAAGTCAAGGAGTCAGTTGGACTACTCATCCACCAATCACGTAGAATTTTCCATCCATGAAAAAAACCAGAGCAAAGCCGTCGCGGACAGTGCATGTTTGGCAACATCTCCCACCTGCCGGTGGCAGAATTATAAAGCTCTGCAGATTTCAGTATGTTACCGTTCTTATCGCTCCCCCCTGCAACAATAGCGATCGAACCAAGACTACTAGATCCAAATAAACACCGAGGATGGTTCATCCCTTCACACTTCACCCAGTCACGATGAACCAAACTATACTTCAAATAGCAAATTCAAACAACTCATGACCGAAAACCAGCAATTCACTCCCCACAGCTAATGACTCCTTATCGGCATAATTAAAACAGTCATCACAGGGAATTTTAGGCAACCTCATCCATCTGTTTTTAAAGGGATCGAATGCCTCCCATCCCCTTGGATCACATACCAAATACACCCAATGCTCCACAACGCCCAACTGCCTCCGCAGCTCATATAGGTCTCCACTTTTAATTAGCTTATTAAACCTCGCATTTAGGCAAGACAATGAGGAATAATCTGATCTGCATGCCCAAGCAAGACATGTCAATGCAACATCATCATGTAGACCAGGGAGAAAAGAATCATTTGATCCAAAGTTACCCTGATCATCATCACCTACTCCTGACCTCACTGCCACTTCTCCTCTTTTATTCCCCCACCAAACAATCAGAATTCAACTTATTCATCTTATACGAAGAAGTCAGCAATTTCTTCAACTTCTGTGTTTCTAAAACCATGATATCCTATCCCGACCAATTAGAAAAGCAATGAAAAAGAAATCTTGAATCCGCAACTTTGTCAAACAGCCATATTTTTAACCACTTCTCTCTATCTTTCCATCCTGTCCATCAATTCAAGAAACTCAAAAACTGAAGACCCCGTACGGAAAATCCACACCCCGTGTTGATATAACGCCTATATGCCAACTTTATCAGCTGAATAGTGAAACACCAAATCAGCTACTCCATTAATTGCTCGAATTTTCACCAGTTTTCACTTCCTTGAAATCGTATCCATCAATTAAACAACCTCAAAAACTGAACACCTCATATGAAAAGTCCGCACCCCTCTTCAAGTAACACCTATATTTCAACTTTTATCATACAAAAATACCAATCCCATATAAACAAAAGCACCAATTTAAGCCAAAAAAATCCGATAAAAATTTAATCTTTAACCAACACTTCCACAATTTTCATTATTTTCTCAGCCGTTTTCCTCAGAAAGATAACTTGCAACGACTTTGATGGCAAGTTACCAGACAAATAAATACCAGAAAGAGAAAAGTAAATAAATTTGGATTCGAACCGGGTTTCAGCGGAGATGTTCGGATCTCGCCGGAAAGTTGACGCATCTACGCCGGAGAAAAGTCAGAGCCTGAGGAAGGAGATTTCACTGCCCAACAAAAATCGTAATAAATTTTTTCTGAGGTTGGAAAGGCCGGTAATTGATTCCCGGTGAACATTTTACCAGAGACACACTATCTGGTGCGTGCCTATGTGTTAGAGAGGGATAGAAAAAGCGGAAGCGGTTATTTGACAGAGAGAGACAGAGAGAGAGAGTGAGTGAGGGCAGGCGAGAAGTGGAGTTTAGTGAATGAGAGACCCAAAGAGAAAAGTATCTCCCTTTGCGATGCTAGTCCCTGATTAGTTAGATAGTTTTTTTTTCTGCCCGGAAATTCACATATTATTCTACATTTTTCCAGTTCAAGTTCCCCACTTTTTGGTTGTACTTGTACTTTGTCGAGTACATTTATCAGATTTTGTTCATCATTAATGAAGTTATTTGCTAGCTCTCTTTTATTTGAAGTGAGACCAGAATTCTAAAATCTAGCAAAGCATGGGGGGCTTTGACTATTTATCTCATCTATACAATATATTAGTATTATCATTGCTTGCTGGCTGGCGTGTCTTCTTCGACAAAACATAATATACAACAGAACGAGTTAGCAATTGGTTTCAACTCAAAAATTAACGCATGGTTTATGGCTTTGTAGCTAATTTTTAAGGGTAATCTAACTTTTTAGGTTGTGGATTTACATATACCGATGGAAAATATGGAGGTTCTTATCATGTTAAAATGACGATTAGCGGACAGATCTCATACACTTGGCTTTTGAAGCGGTTTTTTCCCCTTGAAAGTGGAAATATTTTTACAATGTTTGACCAATTCGAATTACTCAGTAAATAGATTAGAAGAAAGAAGAAGCAGCATTTTTTTAGCCTCGCTTTCGGAAAAAAATTAATAATAGATGAAGTGGTCAGCAAACAAGTTTGACCCTTGTTGCCTTTTTCTCACCATGTGGGTGGACAAAGGCAAAGTGTCAAAGGCAAATCAATCTCTAAGAAGGGTAAACATGGGCTAAGCATATTGATGATTAGAATTAGAGCTGGTCAAACACGGTGGCTAAGCATATACTATTAGTTTTATACATATATAATATGATTAAAGCAATTTGTCATATTCATGCTACTCCTACTAATTTGCCAGTTAACAATTGTCTTCTACTGGTTGTTCACAGTTTTGATTACTCTGACAATTTGCAACTGATGAACATATTTGCCATCAGCAAGAGGTTTTGGTCCTAAATTACGATACAGTAGGTTATACAAATGTATCGTTGTTGCTGACCAAAAAAAAAAAAAAGAATTTTGGCTCACAGAAGAAAACCAAAAAAAAATTTAAAATTCCATTCCAATAATGAGTTAGTCTTTGGATGGCATGAGTTGGACTAACACACAGTTTGTAGTGCACTAATGTATTGTACAGGTCTTATGAGTTGGTTCATGTGGTCGAAGGTAGCTTAGGTGTTTGTCATTGTAATAATTTTTGTATCAAAAAATAAAAAGTAAAAGGTCAATTTGAATTCTTGCCTGAAAGAAATATATCCAATTCAAGCATTTAAATTATGTAATAATTTGCTTGAAAAAAAATTTACGTACAATAATAAAAAAATAATAATGTCAATCCATACGGCAAAGTGAATGGGCAAAAAAAAAAAACGTGGCTGGCTGATGTTGAGCGTCCTTATTAATTTCCTGGCTGGATCAAACAGTAAAAGTACAAGTCCTGCAGCAGCAATCAACTTCGGTTTGGCATCTACCTGTCTGCGTCTGGTTTTCCTTGCTTTTCAGGTCAGTTTTTTTTTTTTCACATTCACCAATTAAGATCTTGCCAAAAAGAAAAAAAAATAAAATCAATTACAGGATGGATATTTGCACTTCATTTTTTGTTATTTACGCTGTTACTATTTATTTTATCGTATAATTTAATAAATAAAAATTATAAAATTAAAATGATAACGGAAATGTAATTAACAAAAATGGGAATACGAATTGCTTTCTTTCCCTTACGGAATGACGTGAAAAGTACTACTATGGTAAATCCACAAGACGGGCTGGCTATATAATGTGTTTTTTTAAATAAAATAAATAAAATAAAATAAAATTCATAATCGATAAGTATATTGTAGGAATAGCAGTAAAACAATCAAAACTTGTTGATGGTTCAATGGGTTAAAATATTCGTAGATCCTCTTGCAGCCAAAGTAATACAAACACGTACGTACGTACAATTCCATTCATTGCTTTCACCTCTCACCTTTGATGTTTTTATTCTCTTTTATGAATTACGAGAAAAGTGGCCCTTTGTACTTAGCCCAGAAAGCATCAAGAATTCGTTGCTACCTAATCACATCAAGAAAAAGAAAGAAAGAAAGAAAGAAACACAATCACCACTGAGAGATAAAATATATATAAAGCACTTGAAAGGAAGAAGAAAAAACTTTGGTTACTTGTCCCTGTCAGCACATGTTTATGCTCCAAAATAAAAACAGAAGTATAATGCAAGCTTCCATAATAGCTCAGGCTACCTTGTCAACTCATCAATAATATCAACTTATCCTCCATGTCCTCCTAAGCCGTACTTGTTGGAATATATAGTAATAGGCTTTTAACATGACAAAGGATGGTTAATTTAGCTGATTTACTAAGGCTCCGTTTGATAACACTGAATCTGAATTCTGAATTCTGAACTCTGAAATAATTAATTTGCTGAATTTTAAGCACTGAAAAGAGATATATGAATATCTGAATCTTAATGCTGAATCTATTTATACTGTTTGATAAATATTCATAACTTAATGCTTAAGAAACTAAATTGTACAATTTTGCCATTCTATCTTTTAATCCAAAAAGGAAATAGAACCTATGATTTAATTAATTTAAAATTGTTAGGTATGAAAATGACAATGATTGTGAAGAGCAATGCATACAATGACAATATTTCTTTGTGTGGGAAAAGGGTATGGTTTCATCGTTTTGAAAATAGGAAAACGAGCTTTTAATACTCCAAAATCACGTTCAATTACATTTCTCAATCTTGCATGTGCTTGGTTAAAGCGTTATTCTTTTGATCTTGGACGAGAAGCATTTCGAAAATCAGACAACCAATATCTAATATTTCGATATGGTGTCATAAAGCCACGTGTGTGTGGATAAGTTGCATCACATAAATAATATTTATCTGCACAAAAAAAATATATATCAAAATATAAATGTTTGTGGATGAAAATTACTGCAAAAAAATACTATTGTTAAAAAATTTTTTTGAATAGAGAATATCAGGTTGTTTTGTTTAATTAGATAAGGATTTTAAATAGGAAATATTAGGTTGTTTAATTAGATAAGGATTTTGAATGTAATGAACAAACAGGGACATATTTGGTAGATAAGATAAAGTAGTTGAAGTAAATCTCTTAATTCTTATCAAATTAAGCATTCAGCTACGATTCTTGTGCTGAAAAAAATACATACAAATTCAGTACCACTTAATAAGTTCAGCAGGTGAATTTTTATTTATCAAACACCCACAACATCTGAATGTCTGAATGAATTCAGTTTCAGCACTTTTTTATGTTATCAAACGGGCACTAAGATTATTATTGACATTTTCTATCGTAATCATATCAGGAAAACAAATGATGCAATTTATATTGATGGGTGGGAGCAATAGATAATCGCATCTGATGCAAAATTTAAGGGTAAAACAAGAAATTTCGCCATCTATCTTAGAATTTTGATTGTGACCCAAAAAACCAAATTTTTTCTTTTTGGGTTTAGATATTATTGTAACCAAACACTTGTTGGATGATTAGACTATTCAAATGAGGTGATGCCATTGCTTATGAAAGACATGCAGGCAGATAACGTCTGAAGAGTCAAAAATTGCTGTGGAAGATGAGAACAAAATCCTTGCGACAGCATATTAATGGCAAAGCTGGCTCGCCTCATGCTCCTGCTGCAACCGCAAAACACGCGGTTGATGAGGATGCCGTAATTTTGTTTGTTTCTTTATTTGTTTTGTTAGGCATTCTGTCATTGGCGCAAGCATTCATTGTGTGCAAGCAAGATCCTTCTGGACGAGCCTGAGGTCCGATGCCGTCGGCGCGGCTCACCTGCAACGCAAGAAAAATTTGTGCTCCGATGCTTAAATCAGATATTATTATTCAGATTAAAATGAGGCCGGTAAGGCTGGATAGCATTGCATAAACGGAATAAATAAGGGGTCAATTGGACGCAATTAATTTAGGTTACAATTACGGGCAAAGGAGCAAAGTGGGTTTTACCTTAGAATCAATGAAGACAAGGC